GCGTACTCTAGATCAGACAGTCTGCCACCTGGAAGTAAATCGATGCCACTATCCTCGCACGAGGATAGGGCTGTTTCCATAATCAGATATATAACAACGTTAAATAGAAATGGAGAAAGAGGATAACCCTGACGAACACCACTTTCCGTGGTGAACTTGGGCGAAAAAGTGCCGTAAGCTCGGATTCGGCTTCCGTTATTAGTATAAAGCGAACGTAATATTGAAACTAACTTCTCGGGCACACCTTTCAGAAAAGAGCAGCGCCAGAGTTTAGAGCGGTCGACTGAGTCGGAAGCCGCTTTCAGGTCGAGGAAGATGGAAATGGTGGGTCTACGAAAAGTGTTTGTGTCCTAGGACTTGACGAAGAGTAAAGATGTGGTCGATACAACCTCGAGTGGGTCTAAAACCAGCCTGGTTGTCACGTGTGCACTATTCACGAGCGGCAGACAATCGACGGTGTATGATCCCGGCGAGAAGTTCAGAGGCAATGTTAATTAAAATAATTCCTCTGTGGTGTTCACAAGAGAACTTGTCGCCCTTCTTGTAAGTCGATATGATCAGCGATTCACACCATTCAGTTGGAACCTGTTCCCTTTCCCACACTGAACCCAGGAGTTCTGTTTACTCCAAAACCAACGCCTAGCCGCCATCCTGAAAAAATGATGGGGACAGCCCGTCGGGACCGGGAGTCTTACATCTTTTGGGATAGCTTATTTTTCGGTTAACCTCTATTTCAGATGGAGTACTAATGTCAACTGGCAGTATTTGCACAGTTGAAGCGGATAGGGGGAGGTCTTTTGCTGACGAGGGCCAGCTGAACGGGGCCTTAAAATGTTCTGTCCATCGATCTAGACGGCGATGCTGAATATGGATCACTGTGCCGTCGGACTCCTTAGTTACCTCACTTATGCTTACTTTCCTTGGACCTGTACTCTTAATTATTCGGAAAAGATTGTGCCTATTACCTCTCCATCTACTATCCTATCCATCCTACTATCCTATCCTATCCACCACTTCTCGCGGTCAGTCCTCAGACTCTTGATGAGCTGGCGTTTAAGGGATTTGCGCGCTTTGTCGTAGTTTGAATCCGAAGGAATGGCTTCGCTAGCGTCCAGCAGGGCCCATGAGGTAGTGGGTCGGGAGCGTGAACGAAGCACCCATGTGGGAGCTTCTAGGCCTTTGAATTTCGGTTAAGTTTGTTACTCGCCGGTGCTTTGATTGTTAGTCCGCTTTTTAGGATCGGCCTTTAGCCTCATGCACCCAATGAGACAAGCGGAACGTGGACGGGACAGCACCTTATTGGTTGGGGGCTGCCCAGCTTGGGCGGGTGGTAGTTG